TTAACTATAAATTTTAATCGTTTTACAAAAAATTAATAAAATTATCAACTTTAAATCAAACGAAATTTTAAAAATTTTAATTTACTTAAATTTATTTTCTTTATGTTCGAAAATGAGAAGTAGCCGTTGAGACATATGCAGTATTGCAATATTATTTGCATAATTATCTGATATTCCTATATAATCTCGATGGAAAAATATTTGATCAACTTTTCGATATGTTGCATCGTCTTCTGAATAATTATGAATACCAGCTACAATACTTATACTAAATAATGGTACATTAGCAATACAAGAAGCAGATGTTAAAATATAAGATTCAGATAAAATTGTTCCACTACATGCATGTTTATTAGTATTATTCAAACGTATAGAAACAATCATTGACCAACTATATGGGTATTGCTTCATTAGCTGTGATAATATTTGTTTGAGGAAATTGAACATTTCGACGACTACAACCACATGGTACTGCATATTTATCACATAGATAAGTAGTTGAAGGTATGTCTGTTATATCTGTTGGTGGAAGAGTTATTGTGAAAGGTATTTCTTCTGTAATTTCATCATTCATTTTTATATGTTCTTCAATCCAATCACGATAATATGTAATTCGTGTATAAACAATAGCAGAATTTTTTCTACAACTATCGGGTCTGAACGATGCAATGCCAACTTGTTCCCAATGATCTTCGATCCAATGAAATATTGGACCACCAAAATCACCTAATTATCAAATAAGTATTAAAAAAAAAGATGTAATCTAACTTCAAGTTGCATACCATAACAAGGGCCTAAATATATATACATATATAAGATTCAAGTATGAAAAGAAAATAATAATTTCCTGACCTGTGCTAGTATAAGGTACTCCTGCACAGAATTGTGCCTTTGAATCACTGACAATATTATTACATTTAGTATCATTATGATCAATTAAAAACATCACAGCTTGTTGTAAAATATCTGAGTGATCTTCAAAATAAATTGTACGTCCTCATCCAACAACAACTAAAGATTTATCTGCTGATGGATATTGCATCAATTCTTCGGAAGTATTTAATTGTGATGGAAGACATGTTTGTGTTATACAAGAATTCATATGAAAATTAAGTGGTTGAGATAAATGAAGTAAAGCAATATCATGATGATATATATTTTGTGAACGTGTCCAATTTTGATGAATTATAATTTGATCAACTTTTCGTATGATTTGATTTGATTCAGATCTACTATGTATACCAACAGCAATACTTATATTCGCTAATTTTATATCATCAATTATTACTTCAAAACAACTAGCTGCAGTGAGAATATATAAATCAGTAAGAATAGTTCCTCCACAAATATGTTTTGATAAATTCTTATGAATAAAATCATAGCGTAGTGATACAATCATTGGCCAACTACATCGTATCGCTTGTTCACCATTGATAATATATGCATTTATTTCAACATTTGATGAACCACAACCACAAGAAAGTTTGTTATTACATTTATAATGTTTTGCACTAGTTAGAACACTACTAAGCAATAAGACGAATAAAAAAAGTTTCATTAATTGAAAATTTATTATAATTCAGGACAGAATAGAAACCAGTCTTTGATAATTAACCGTCTATATATATATATATATATATGGAATAATTTAAGAAAAAAAAATCAATGTTTTTTTTCCATTTGCTCAGGTATTTTGATCTGAGTTGATGTATACACAAATAATATTGATCAATATATCATGTACAAAATAAATGGAAACTTGATCGAAAATGGATTAGTTGAAAAAAAAGAAAAAGAAAAGTGATATCGAAGAGTATATTTTGTTGATTTACTAGGCAGAAAACATCCTTTCTTTTCAAGGCAATACCACATGAAACAACGAAAAGGAGATACAGTATTTATTCAAACTTTTTTATTAATGACGTCTAAAAGGTATATCGATATAAGATTTCAAATTTTTGCTTAAAGGTAGATTAATAAATCCAAAACAGATGACTCATATTTTGACGTTATTTCTTTTTTTCGAAAACATATTTCAAATGTAAATCCAAATTAACAATTCATAGTTTTGTACAATATTAAAATGAATTTTATCTGTATTATAAATTATTTGATTTTAGAAATAAGCTGTTGATAAAATTATAGGAATTAACAAAATGAATCTATCATATTTTTTTTTAGATATTGTTTGTTGAATATAATAAACGAGAAATAATTATAATTATAATATTTCCTCGACTGAAAGGAGCGTTATGCGAAATAAAATAAGTATGTGTTGGGGTTGTTATGGTGGGTGGATTTAAGTGCGAGTATGAGTGTCATTGTTTGAATAGATGAAGAGAAGAGTCTGATGGACCCGCAAACACAAATCCACACCTATCCTGACATCAATACACACATCCACACTCAGGCTTACATGCACCATTATGTATACATTTGATATTAGTATCGATTGTGAAAAAAACATAATGAACACGGGGACGAATACACCTATCGACCCCCCCTTATCTAATGACATAAATCGATTGATTAGCCTCTGGGAAGTTCAGAAAAAGTATTTTTAGAGGTCCTAGAGTGATCTTTTACGAGATAACCTTATTTTAAAAAAATTGAAAATATATGAAACTAGAGTCTGGTCAACGTATGGGAAAATACCTAGACAATATTAGAAGAAGAAAAATATCGAATTGAATGAAAGGAAAATAAAAAGACATGTAAGCCGTACGCGCCATCTATAGATTAAGAAAAATGGAAGAAAGAAAGAGAAATTAAATATATATGAATCATACTATAAGATTTTCTTTCTGTACATTTCCCTCTCTCTCTTACTTATAAACAATGACCGTTCATCCCAAACTCGTTAATGTCAATATGTTTACGTGGGGTCTGCTGCTAAAGAATATCGAAGAGGCCCAGAAACTTGCCGAAGAACTTGGTTTAGTTCCTAATCAGTCTACTCCTCCTCCTATCCACTGTGGTAAACCTATGAAAGTGACAAAACGTCCTGGTCAAGCAAAACTTGGATGGGTTTGGTCTTGTGCTAGAAAGTCGCACAAACCTAGACAAATAGGAAGCAAAAAGAAGGGGTGTAATAAGACAGTTAATCCAGCAACTAATACTTGGTTTGAAAATCATAAACTGCCAATACACCATTGTTTGGCGATCATGTTTGCCTTTGTTTGGAAGATACCTGTCAATCAACTTTTAGTACATCTTCAGAATTGGGAGCCTGATCATACGACTAGCAGTACCACAGTGTCCGATCACTACTCTTTCTGTCGTGAAATTTGTGAAGTGATTGCCTCTCATACTGAAGGACAGCTTGGAGGTCCTGGTCTTACCATTGAGTGCGATGAAACCTTTCTCACTCGCCGTAAATATAACAGAGGACGCTACACTCATTCTCACACCATTGTTTTGTTTGGGATCTATTCTCGGGAAACTAAAGAAGGACTCTACTTTCGAACGAATGGCAAGTCCAAGCGTGATCTGTGGCCACTTCTCTCGAAGTATGTCCATCCTGAAATCAAGCGCATCTGCACTGATCAGGCTAAACAATATAAAAAAGTTAAGACACTCTTCTCGACTTCAACCCAACACACTACCGTTAATCACTCAAAAGGCGAGTTTGTTGACAAGAATGACAAGGAAAATCATATCAACAGCATTGAAAACAACAACAAGCATCTCAAAAGTTTCTTTAAATCCCGTCGCTCTGATAAACTCATCTATCAATATATGGCAATGCACTTCTACTTCAATCGTTTCATAAGGAAACATAAAACTCTCGGTGCTCAACTTCAGCAATTCATTGATGATGTCATTCGTGTTTATCCTGGTCCACCGGAATTGGGAATGAAAGGTCTTCAACTGAATGAGATCAATCTTCCAACACCAGAGAGTGAGGGGATCGAAAATCTTATGCCAATTTCTAGAACTCCAAAACGACGTAAACAAGAACCACTCAGCGACAGCGAAGATGAAATCATAGATATGGACGACCCTGATTGGGGACCTGGTGACTTCTAACCATTTTACTATTTTTTTGATACGATTTTTACATTTCATTTTAAACAAACTTTTTATGCAATTTTAAACTTTTTTTTAAATATAATTTTTCACATATCTCGTAAAAGATCACTCTGAAACTTCTAAAAATACTTTTTCTGGACTTCCTAGAGGCTAAGCAGTTGGTTTATGTCATTAGATAAGGGGGGGTCGATAGGTGTATTTGTCCCATGAACACGAATGCTTGTAAAATATTTTGATAAGAAACAGTACGTAGAGATCTGCAGCATTCATCATTCGAAAGAAAAATGAAGATAAAAGTGTATTAAATTATGCTGAATATAAATCAGTCAAGTACATCAACTTTTGTCATAAATTGTGAGACTTTTTCTAAATCAATTATAATTTGCTATAC